GGTCTTGATTCCTTCATGGTTACCTTTATTGAAAAGGATTTTCATTTATATCCTAGTCTAACATTTCTGTGACATGCTAAGTTATTAGGACTGAATTGATGTTTAAAAGTGCCATTAATTCATTTACCCCAAATGTTCATTAACAATGTAAATGTATGCTGATGTTCTATGAGACAAGGAAGTGACTAATGACTCTTCCAACTAACAACACTTAAAATGAATAGAAACTTTAGATAGCTAATCTTGAAGTAATCAAGACCCTCATTCAGCTTGGCATCTCTGTATGCTCTAAAACAGCTGTCAACTGTTAAAAATATATACAAAACACACATACAGGCACATGCTGAAAGATAGATATGTAAATATCTGATTCTTTAAAGCCATGAAGGTTACTAGTAACCATAGTGAGTTTTGTGCATTGTATATGTAAATATTTTATATAAAACATCTATTTGATCTTTATAGATTACCTTTTTTCATAAAATGTGTATTGCATTTTAATAGGGTTGTCATATTTACTTGAAGAATCATTATCTTTGTAATATGTTTGCTTACTTTAATTTGTGTCTTCCACGGAGTTTCTTGAAGTATTTTGAAACTGTTTACACATTTCTGCACCAACTTTTAGCAGATTTGTAGCTACAGTATGACCTTCTTTTCTAAACACATACTGGACTTAGAAGTTTTCCTGCATAGAATCACGTGCAATTAAAAATCATGTTGTACATTCCATTAGTAAATAAATCTTTTATTTTCTTGATTCTGAGCTTTAATTTTTGTACTAATAAGTCATTTTAAGAGTTCTGTAAAATTAGCTAGAAAATAGGGTAAGAGAAAGAAAATTGCCTATCGTTTTATTTTCATGGGTTTATGATAGGGCATGAAGGTAGAACAAAGAACCACCTCTGTATATGTATAAAGTCTTAGGTGATATTTTTTAAGTGAAGTACATTTTTTAATATCTTGAAATTCTTTTACAAATTGGAAGCAGCGTAGAAAATATTATATATTCTTTGTGCCTTATTAAGTTTGGTCACATGCATAAATCACCACCTTAAATTCTTGAATTAATGGGTAATTAACTGATTAGATACCTGTAACTCAGCTAAAAATAATACAAATAAAAAATACTCTCTGGCAAGGCTGGAGGGATGATTCAGCAGCTGAGAACACTTGTTCTTCCAGAGGACCTAGGTTTGATTCCCAGCACCTACATGGTGGCTAACAACCATGAGTAACTCCAGTTCCAGGGTATCCGACACCCTCTTCTGGCCTCTGCAAACATTGTACACATGTAGTATACTTTCATACATGCAAATAATACAGTCATACACATAAACTAAAATAAAATTAATACATAAAAAAACAAAAATACTTTTTGGTCTTGATAATCATTTGTTCTTCTGACTTTAATGATAAATGAAAAGTGATCAATTAGTTTTAACTGAAATTGTAACGCTATCAAGATTTAACAGCATTTTACCTGTTCAGTAGTATTACTGGAATTACTACTTGTTTCTCCATGTTTCTAAAAGGAACATGTTTCTTATGTTGCTCATAAGAAAAGAACATTTTCCTCTAGTGGATCTCTTCTTTGCTTCTAATGTTTTGAAACGTATCACCAAAAGCTGTATTTCCCATTTTATGTGGCACAGCATTTACCTTCTTCATACCTCTATTATTCTTAAATCTCATTTTCTGTATCTTTGCATCTTTAATACCTGTTCCAAACTTTTCTATCCTCAGGTATAAAGTATTTAAGAGTAATGTATTTAGAGAATGCAAGAAGTTCAAATTCCTTTTAACTTGATTTTTGCCTCCTATACGCTTAGTATTATCCTGAATTTTCCTTCTTTCATTTTATCTTAAAAGTTTTAGAACTGGAAGAGATAGACATCATGAATAATAGACTTCCTAAAGAGCATTAATAAAATATAAGTGACTTTGATTATATTGTTTTGAGGATATTAATATTCATTATATTTTATTGAGTGGTTTATTATTTTGAAATTTTGTTTATTTCATTAGATTAATATATAATCAGACACGTTAACACAGTAGTTAAGAAATTATTGCAATATTTGGTAAGAGAATAAGGATCATAGAAACTTATGTTTCCTTTTCTTTCTTTTTATTTATTTATTTTATGTCTGTGAATGTTTTGCCTGTATGTATATAAGTGTATCATATGCATGCCTGGTGCTCATGGAGGTCGAAGGCATGAGGCGCTGTTTTGTTTCTGTTTGCTTGTTTGTTTTGTGTCTGCATTTTCTTTGTTGACAAGATCTTACTATGTAGCTTTGGTTGGCCTCCAGGTCAGAGGCAAAGCTGCCTCTACTTACAAAGTGCTGAGATGAAGGCATGTGACACCAAGGCCAGCTCACATGTTTCTTTTCACACAGAGAGAGTGCTGTAGGCAACACACATGATATTATCTCATTCATACAGAAAATATTTATTGTTCAATTAGTATCTGGGCTAAGAATATCGAACAAGTAGAATGTTTTCTGTCACAAAATTTGCATTTGTTTTGATTACTTCTCTTAAAAAATATTATTTTTATTTATGTGTATATTATCCAAATGCATGTGAGTGCACCCATGTTGGCCATTGCTTGTGGTGGTCAGAAGAGGGTGTCAGATGCCCTGGAACTCGAGTTACAGATTGTTAGCCACCATGTGGGGTGCTGGGAACTGAACCCACATCCTCTGCAAGAGTAGCCAGTGCTCTCACTGCTGAGGCATTTCTTCAGCCCCTGGTGATTTCAGACTGTGTGTTTGATCATATTTACATACTCCATTCCTTCCCTCTAATTCTTCCCAGACCCATTCTCTACTTCCCCGTCCCTCCCAACTTCGTGTTCTCTTCTTTTTTAAAACACAATAGTCCTCCAAGTCCAATATGTGTGGCGATATACTAATAGGTTTGGTGCCATCCAGGAGAGTTTGATTGACCTATCGTGGGCCAGACCCTTAAAGAAAACTGACATTCCCTCCCCTAGAGGTCATCTATTGCCAATGGCTCCTGAGCTCTTGGTAGGAGCTTAAGAGCTCCTCCCTCTCCCTCCTCCAAGCCAGAATGTTGACATGGTTGATCTAGTGTGGGTCTTGTGCACTCAAAACATTACCCTAAATAAGGTAGCTCAGACACAGAAAGACAAGCATTGAATGTTCTTACTCATATGTGGATGTTAGATTCATTTGTTTAATTTGTAAAATCTGTAGAATCCAGGAAACTAGAAAGGCACCATTGGTGATTAGAAGGTAGAAGGATGTTAAGGGGAGGGCAACAAGAGTACAGGTGATGGGAAGGGAAAGGGGATAACCGGGAGAGAGGGTTAGGTGAGG